TTGATTTAAACTAACCCAACATGTAAAATACTGTTACTTTCCAGACAGTTATTCAAGTTATATGCTAGCCAGACGGGTAATGATTTTATGCATCCAGAGTTTAAACATTTATAAATCAGACTCTTAAGTGGGAAGAAAGGATGGTATTATTGCATTTCAATTATTAATATATTGTTGGGAGGGGCTATATGATGAGAATAGGCTTCTTATTTAAAAAAAAGTTTCTGCTTATGGAGAAATATGTTCAGATGGGGCAGAAGAGAAATTTCTCCCAATGCGTGAAGAATTTAATGACTTAAATTGTAATAAAGAACACTTAGTTAGATACTGGGGAAAAACTTTCTAATCTTAATCACTAAAATAGATTGTGTAAGATGACTGTGGGGCCATGATGTTTACAGCAAGTTAGCCAAGTTAAATGATTCTGCATGGTCACTGCAGAATGAAATGTGTGGCCTCTTAGTATCCTACCAGCTCTTGTTTTACGTATTTTTTCCTTATCTTCAAATTAAATTTCATATTTGAATAACATCAATGCTAGAGGTACTTGATGTCTTGAAGGCAAAATTCATCAGCACACATTTTTCATTCTGTAAAATGTTTAGGTAGAGTGTAAATTCAATTAAATACTGCGTGTAAAACTAAGTATCTTAATCTGAACTTTTAAGTGTATAACATAACATTGCTGCTCCTTGCACCTCTAAGGAGAGATTGAGAAAATAGCCTGAATCGGAATTTGTTTAAAAGTTCAATGATGGTTTACATCTTAGAATCCATCTCCTATTTTTGTACAGATAATAAATGTAAAGGTAACTTACGTATAAGAAGAAACGCTTGTTGAGCTTCTCTTAAAATTGCACTCTCTCTGTGATAAGGCTGTCTGTCACCTCTAAGAAAAATCAGACTCCAACTAATGCTTCTTGCTTTAAGAATTGGTAGAGGAGTCCACAGGGCCCTCACAGCAGCTCTTATGCTGTTAACTAAGAGAGATCAAATCAGATGAGTCCCATCATCAGTACTGTTTCAACTCACTTTACCTAGTTCAGTATCACTGATTTTAAAGTTCTCATAGAAATTCTGTAAAGAATTTCATAGTTCTAAAAATTTTCAATAAATTTGAGTCTGTTCTTGAAGAAGGGCACTTTTGTCACTGGGGAAAGTCTCACCCACAGTGCTTTGTTAAAGCGTGAACATAATGCCAAACAGGTCTCTTGGCCTGAAAAGGTACAGAAGGAAATCTCTTATCTTGAAGCATTGAATACCTAAAGTGACAAATGTAGACTCTATCCATTTTTTCCCCTAGACTCTATACGACTAAAGCTAATGCATTTATTTTAGCTTAAACTTAAAATATTGTTCTGCAAGGTCATCCAGACTTTCCTGCTTGTTAGTCCTTGATTAGCTAAGTTGTAGACAATAAAACAGTACGCTAAAATACAAGATTTAAGAGCCTTGTTTATCAGTACGTTCAGCTTTGAGGGTACAGTATGATGACTATAGGCACAGTTGGGTTTGTCCTTCCCCGTGTTAATGTTGGAGGAAACCCAAATGCAAGTTGCTTACGTCTGATGATCCGCTAATGTCAGACTTGTGACTTATGGGCTGTTCAGTAAAGAGAGGGAGAAAGCTAGTCTGGTGTCACTGGGAACATGTTCCACTATTAGTAATTCATCTACCTGAGCAAAATTCTTCCACAGTTTTTAGAAGGACTTTACATATGAAACGTAGTTCTGTGGATTCTTCAGAAGAAATAAGACTTCTGAATAGTTACAGGGAACTGTACGTTACAATTTTTGCTAGTTTTTGAGACTTCTACAGGTATTCTGTGCTTTGAGTACCTTTTGTTGTGCCTATGTCTTAATTGGCTTTATTCTAGTATTTGGAATTTCCTTTTAGTTTTCCTTTATTAAATTGTCTCCTGCAAGTAGTTCTACAAATTTTCAAATGTTCCAATGGAGTACAAGTGGCTAACAGCATCTATTCTTTCCCAATATTATTCTTGGATGGTGTGGGTATATAAAATAAGTTATTGTTGCAATGAAATGAGAAACAAAAATATTTTAATACCTTGCAAAGAGGCAACTGTATATGGAAAAACTTGTGGGTTTTTCCGTTTCGTTTGTTTTTTTTTTTTTTCAGTGACTTGTGTGCTGGACTGATTGGGGGTCTTGGAGTAACACCAAGTGGAAATATTGGTGCTAATGGAGTTGCGATTTTTGAATCAGTAAGTCTTCTTATGCAAGGTATAGTAGTAATAACGACTTTGTCTCAACTTGAGAATCTAAAACTTCTCCATGACATACAATGTGGCTGTCATTTAACTAAGTTCTCTGTAAAACTATTTTTTACTGCGAAGATGCTGAAACTTTACCCAGAGAGAGTAGTTAAAGTATGTATTACACATAGTTTTTTGCATGTCCTTTTACTGACACTTTGTTTTCCCCCTTTTTCATAAGATAAATACCCTCTGAAATAGAACTTGAGCAGCACAATTGAGAGATATTAGGTGACCTAGTTCCCCCTTTCTGATGCCTTTGAACTGAATTGTTCTGGTCTTTCCTATCTCCTTTCCGCTAACTGTATCACAGTGAAGCAAGTCCTGTTTTAACATGCTTGTGCACGAGGACTATGTTTCAGGTTGCCTGCATACACTTGAATTGCCTCGGATATTTTAATCAGCATATTGACATCATAACAGATAGGTTCACTTTTATTTCTAGGTCCATGGAACGGCACCAGACATTGCAGGAAAAGACTTGGCAAATCCAACTGCCCTTCTTCTGAGTGCTGTAATGATGTTGCGTCACATGGGACTACACAAACATGCCACAAAAATTGAAACAGCTTGCTTTGATACAATTAAAGATGGAAAGGTAATATGAGGGTGTGCAAATAAATGCAGTGAATTAAAATCATACTTTATCACAGCAAAAATTAACTTAGAACATTAACACCAGAACAGTGGATGACCTGCTCTGCCGGCCTGACGCATAAGCAGTGCCGCTATCCTTCTCTGATAGTAATTATATTATCTTTGGTGGTATTAAATCTGCCCGGCTCAGTAATAGGGACAGGCTGTAGCATTCCTTTTGTTTCAGTAATGCTCATTCTACATTTCCACAGCTTTGTTAACTCTAAAAGCTAGAACTGGATGTCTGGCTTTCATCAAGGGGATTAGAGGTTTAAGTAACTGGTGGTATTTCACTTGTGAAGTTTGTAGTGCATACAAAGCATATATATTTAAATCTGGATCCTGAAGTGAAGGACGCTCATTTGCCGTTCACAGGTTTAATCATCCACTTCATTTATAGCATTTCAGTCCTGACTGTAATACTTCTGCTCCTATTTTTTCAGGTCAATTATTTTCTTTTTTCCTCCTAACTGCTTTCACTCCTTTTTGGACTACAAAGAACAGTTTTTATCCAGTATTTACATTTTCCCTTAAGACTGTATGTGATTTCCCTTTGGCAATAAGTGTCTCCAGATTCAAGACTCAAATGGGATATTCTGGGAGGACTTATGCTCTGAAACCTGACTTGAATTTGTGCTCTTAACGTTATCGGTTCACTCATCTACTTTGATGTCCACCTTTTCAAAACATAGCTGGAAAGATCCTGAAGATTGCAGTTAAAGGCAATTAGCAGTTAGCCATGCCGGTTCAATTATCTTGGGCAGGACCATAAAAAGCTGCTTTGTAATTAAAAGTGAGAAGCATGTTAAAAAAAAAACCTGCCATAATTTTATAAGTGGTCTGTTTGCAGCTATCTTAACTGTGCGTAGAAGCCAGTTAAAAAAAAATAAATCTAAACTTACAAGTGAATAAAGAGAGGTGCTCCTGTAAAGTTTCCATTTACTGCTCTGGAAATGAAATCCTCGATCTGCAGGTCAGTAATTCTATGGAAGATAACATAGTGCAAGTTTTGTGACATGGCTACTTGTTTACTAGTTACTTACAATGTTATAATTATATGCTCACAATGGAGAGAATCTTTTTAAATTGAAAAAAGCATAATGCAGTTAAAATGACAAGACCCTAAAATAGTAACCTTTATTGCCTCTCATGCTTGCTATTTCTCCCTTTCCTCCCCTCCCCCCAGCCATTTAATTAAGATCTGTGTGTGTGTCATATAAGGGTAAAACTAACGATTTTAAATTATCTCCTAGACCGCTTTAATCTAGTTAGGTTGGACAAGCGATGTTGTCCAATTTTTATTTGATTTTCCAGACAGGAGTTGTACTTGATGAAAAAGTTTCTTTTAACTCTGCATTTTTCCATCTCTTAACTAAACTAAGCAAACTTAAAGAACTGTTAACATGCAGCATTAAGAGCTATGCGTGCTTTTTCTGTGTGGGCTTCCTTTAAAACAAAACAAACCCCCAAAACCTTAATGAATGATTCTCAATTAGTTGCCTTTGCACTGAGCCTTCATATATGAATTTTACTTCCAAAGGACAAATTTCTTATTGAAAACTTAAATACTTAACAATTAATTATACTATTACGTGGCCAAGGGACTTTAGAGAGCTGTGGCCAAACACATTTTCTTCCTGTAGTTAAGATAAAATCATGTTACAATCTGGTAACATAATGCTTGATGTTCATGCTCAAGTTTTCTCTACCTGCTTCAGTCTGTGTAGTCCTTATTGATGAAGGCTATATGGGATGCAGAAAACTCAAACTTGATGTATTCCTTCTCACCTCTATTTAGTATCCATACACAACATCTAAGAAGAACATATAGAACTGTTCAGAGACAAGACTAGCCCCATAAAACATTTTAGTAATACTATTTTTTCTTTCTTTTAGGTCTTGACAAAAGACTTGGGAGGTAGCGCCAAGTGTTCGGAATTCACAGAGGAGATCTGCCGCAGAGTACGGGACACAGACTAAGCTTTTCTCATGCTACTTGTAACTCCAAAAGGACACATCACACAAAGTACATTGTATGTAACCTGATATCCATATAGTTTGCTTGTCTCTTAAGAGAGCAAACTTTTTAGTTAGGGCCTCTCCATTAATAAATTTAGTCCAGATGGCTACAAATGATGCTTGTGCCTGCTTTCAGTGGACTTTCCTAAGTGCTTTGTCTTATTTATTTTTTTCTATCTGGTGAACATTTTTATGTAAGTGAATTCTTTTATTGCCACTGTAACTGTCTACCATCTTCCATTTCAACTAGAGGTTTTTACTTTCCACAAAGAAAATTATGCAAATAAACCAGTAACAGAATTAGTGAAATGTAAAAGCACCTTAATGGTTAAAACCTACTTTATTGATCTTACTGATATTTAAAAGATAGGTTTTCAGCCTAACAATAGCACAAGATGACCTTCATAAACAGAAACGGGTATAAAATAACTTAAAATAGCAATTTCATGTTAAAAGCAATGAAAAAAACCACTTTAGATACTCCGGTGATTCATGAAATATAGCCTTGCCCTCCAAGGGCATGAATAAAGAAATACGAAATTCAAGAGATTTAATCTATTTGTGTATTTTAAAAAACCTACAACCATTAACCAGCAAGGGGTGAGAATTAATGTTGAAGTAAAATTATTTTTCAAATCTATATACCAAAATAACTCTTACAGATTTTCCTCTCTGAAACACACTTTACAACAGAGTTCTAATGAGAGTAAATTATACAAAATTACTTCTGCCATATATTGTGAGGGGAAAGTATTAACTTTGCAAATTTATACTAAATATTTCATGACTTCTGCTAGAATGCTTTTTGTGTTGTACTTATGCATAGTCTGTTCAGTGTGTCTTACTGTATTGACTAGTAATTTTATTCTAGAAACTCTGAATGTAAGGGACTAGTCCTAAATGGATTAAGACGGATCGAAGGTTTGGCTCTGGTGCCTATGTTCCAGAAATACATTTCATCCCTATTCAAGGGGATCTGAAACTATTTTTTCCCTGTTTACTAAGCTTAATGGGCGCAAAAGCAACTCTTTTCCTTCCCTTCTTCATCGCATACAGATTGTCATATGAGTCATTCTGATCTGTATGTCTTAAGGTATGCTTCCATTAGTACACCCTACAAGAAAATGTGTATTTTAAAACTCATGACTATAGCACAGGATTATCCCTAATGCCAGAACCAGGCTTCTTAAAGCTTAATTCTATTAATAGATATTACTCCACTTAGTTACTTTCTGTTGAGGCTGGTTGTTTCAGCAGTAAAATCAATTTTGGGTCACTTCTTCTAGTGTCACTCTATAAAGTAAGCATCCCAACTTTTTTTATACAGTCTAACATGGAGGAGGAGGGACAGTGAGCTTTATTCCTCATGCACTCTGCTGTTGGTGAATAGGGCAACATTTCTTTCTGTGTTTTACAAGCTGCTGCTTCCTTGTTTCCTTTAGATTAATATTGTTAAAGAACTTCTGAATTACCATTACGCACAAAATGGGGAAAAATAAACTTTTCAAAGTGCTATTGCTTGGTTTGTTTTTATAATCCTAGGCTTCTGTCTTGTCTTATGTGTTGAGCTGATTGTTGGTACTTGCAACAAATCTTAAGTCTCTAAGATGTGCAAGACTGGTAATGGAACTTTCATGGCAACAATACCCTATTCTGCATGATTGTTTTGATCAACACCAGTGGCTGTAGCCTAGCCTGCTTGTGTTAGCTATTAAACTCTCTGCCAAAGATCACTTACTAACAGCAAACGCTTTAGACAACTTTCTGTCAAGTATGTCCTTCACATAACATTTATTTTTTATAAAGGGGAAGAAGAAATGCAGCTCGCACTTACCAGAATTAGTACAATGTGAATATTGAAAGATGCAGGTAGAGTTGCAACACACTGACAAACATTGCTTCTAAACACTTTTGCTTAAAAAAAGTGCTGTAAATAATTTTTAAGAAGTTTCTGTTCTAAATAGCACTTTAATGTGAGAGCTCCTGTATTTGCTACTTTGTGTCTTTCAGTCTTAGGGAGCTATTCCCCCAACTTGTTTGATTATTTGGTTTTAGGAGAAATAGCTTATTTCAACATGAATTTAAGAAATTATGAGCTGCTGCTTTCACAAAAGTCTGAATTCTAGCCACTGTAAAAATGGAAGAGGAGTGTCTTTAGGTTCAGAAATGTTGTGTTAGTGAACAAAAATAAACTCATCTCTGGGAGGGGAAAAAACCAGCCCTTTTGATTTTTTTTTTTTTTAATAATTGTCTTTATCATTGGAGTGGTATAAGTTTCACTAAGCAGTACTGCTAACTACTGATCTACCAAAATGCATCATGAGCTACAGGCAACCTCCTGTAGAACACAAAAAAAAAAATTAAAAGGGAAGATCCCTGTATAAAAAAAGTTTTCCTTCTGTTTCAGTCCAGCGGAATTAATTAGTTATACCCACTTTATACAACACAAGAGGATGTTTTTAATCTTAATCATTTAGGGCATAAAGTAAAAACAGTATTAGAAAACAGACACTGTGTAGATGCTTCTGTAAAAAGAGGACAAACTATCAGGTGAGTATCAGGAACAACTAAATTGACACAGCAGTTTACTAGTGGTTCAGTTCAATAGACTACAAGACAAAAACAAGCATAATCTTCGTTAATGCTTTTGATTAAGAAATACTTTCTTTAGCTCACAGATCTTTCTTAATGCTTGGATGAAAGACTTCTTATTCTTCATAGAAGGAGTCTACTTCTTTTCTGTATTTCTCAAGCACGGTGAGCCGTTTTAACTTCATTGTCGGACCTTAAAAGAGGGAGTTAGTCACAATAGCAGAAACGGGAACAAAAATTCCTACTCAGTTTAAGCTTTGGTTCCTAAGATTTTTCTATTGAAGAACCTGTTTGGAAGAACATCTCCCACTCTGTAAGTGTAGATACCTGCTAAAAGTGAGAAGCAAGCGTGGTTGCCTTGCCAGCATAAGGTTGCCTCCACAGAAGCACGAGGACCTCAAAGGGAGCTGCAGATAAGAGGGTGATGACTGATGACTAATGACTACTTAATTATTTTTAATGAAAAAAGTAAAGGATGATGTTTTTGAAAGCTTTTAAACAGTTCCCAGTTTATTCAAAGAGCCTGGTAATGTGCTTGGGGCTCTGTTGTCAGGCTTTCACTGTCTCGCTTCTCTTTTTTTAAACAGGACATCCTCAGTATTATTACTGGAAGTTATTAATACTGTAATGCACAAGGAATTAACCAGAATTGATTGTTTAATTGCCCAAAGCAATCTTAAATTTAACTATACAGCTGTACTTGTAAGTTAGCACAGATTGATACATACGTACACAGCAAAAACTCCAATTTCTGTATTCTTGAACACATGCTGCATAATGGTTTTTTCCTTTCCCTCTAGTGGCTGTACCCAGAATTTGGCATACAAAACTATTTGAATACTCTTAGATCAGCAGCCTCTTTACTGTGTGTGTACCTCAGTACAAATCAGTAAATCTTACCTAGTTCTCCCCCAGAAATGGAAAAATCTCTTGGCAGGACTATCCATTTTTGAATACAATGAACTCTGTTAGTAGCGTTCACATTGACTTTGTTGATTCCCTCCTGAATGGCCTGGTAGATCGCCTGGTCTCTTGTAGCTACAATCTCTGATACTTTAGTGGCTTTACTACCAGTCTTCTGGCAGAAGTCTCTAGCTTGCTCAGTGAGAATGTCAGTGGGATCAGATGTATCTGGGTCCAGCACACTCTAAAATATCAAATGAAGTGAATCATCAAATGCTCACTCTTACAGGGCATTAAGTGTTTCTCTGATCAGGTCCCCCCGACTAGTAAGAATCAAGAAGGCTCAGCATCAACACCCAAACATTCTGTAAGCCTTAAAAAGCAGAAACACCTACAGATGATAGTGCTTTTCCTTCCACTTGGCTACCAAATGCAAATATTTTTGGCTTATATGCAGGTGACATGAACAGACTTAAAACATGTCAATGAATCAGGCAATAAAGTCCATCTATAGACCTTGAATTTCTACCATATTTTCCAAATTACTCCATTGTTACAGGGGAACATTTAGCTCATCGATAAATTGAATTACTGTGGTATAATGTAAACAGCATGAGATAAAATAGAAATACTAATTTAAGAAGTCTAACTTCAAAGAATGCTTCTATCTGTAGATAGGGAGTATCAGTTGTAGAGGTAAACAACTTGAGGAAAACTAAAGGGTCATTCACTATGTATGTACACAGAACATGAAGTGCAAATGTTTCAGAAAAAAGTGATTTCTCAATTGAAGCGTATACCACAGCAAAGCTATTAACTGTTTTGTTCTACAGTCATCCTTCTTGTGTTATAAGGACAGAACAAACTGTAGAGAAATGTTTCTGTTGGAAAGTTTGTTAGAAACAGTTTTTGCCTGTAACAGAAACATCTGTTGTCTTTGCTCATCTGTAAGAATAAAAGCTATTATTGTGCTCCGTTACAGACTTCTCTCTCTTTCAATATTTCTTAATTAAAAATTTGCATTTAAATTAAAAAAAAAATAGGTCTTCTTATATGTCTAGGAGAAACAGCAGTAAACACGTAGATGTTTAGCAGATCATCTAATCATATGAAGTTTAGACCATCAGGATTTGGTCTGTAGTTGCTATACATTTTTTTTCCCCGCAAATGTCCTCCTATCTAATTTCGGGTCTTTTTACAAACAGTTCAAAATTCTTCTTGTTTTGTTAAGTGCAGGTGTATAATTTCACTGAAATCAATATTAAAACTGGTGTACCTTTAGGGTCAGCAACATTGACAAAAACTTCTTTTTATCTCCAATCACCATAGCATTACTAACAATTGGGAGTTCTTTTTTAACAGCATCTTCAATTGGAATTGGAGGCACATTTTCACCTCCAGCTGTAATAATCAAATCTAGGCAAAAAAGAAAGGCTATTAGTTGAATTCAAATAAATTCCAAAGATCAGGTTAATGTCTAGATTGACCCACTTTTCTTATTCTGACATAAAGAATAAGAGGTATTTTTTTCTAAGATAGTATTTTCAAAGAGAACAAAGCTTATTAATTAATTATCTTCAAAATAAAAATGCTAATATTTTTCAAATACATGCTCCAGTTCTCAGTTCTCCCTCAGTATAATGTATTTGCTCCAGGTAATTTTTACATAATCCAGAAACAGGTTAGTTATTCTCAAGGCACTGTTGCATAATCTGGAATTTTTCTGTGAGCAATCATCTCTTCTAAATTAGCATAGGATTCACTCTCTATTTTACTGTTGGTATCTCAACAAAAAGCATGTGCATTGTTAACATCATGATTAAAACTAATTCTTAAAGCCACCAAGAGGGGTCAGACAAAAACAAGTTACTACTGCAGGAAGGCTCCATAAAAGCAACATGGAAAGAAGGGAGAGAGGAGTGTGAGGAGGAAGTCAAGATCTCAAGAGAGGAAGCCTGCAGTGGAAGTAGTGATTCCTGCCCTACTTTTGACATGAGGGGAATATAATGACAGACTGGAATCTTAATATTTTTAAGGTTTGTAAACATACCTTATTATACTGATAAAGCAATGGACATTTTTATTTGAACGCATTCATTCTAAAGTGTAATACATCTATTGATTGGAATTATTACAAATTTGAGTATCATTTAAGTAAATTCAAACTCTTTGCTTTCATTACACTGGTGACTTCTCACTGTCCTCAAATAATAGTCTACAGCATTTTAGAACACGCTTCAACAAATAATGCAGTCAAATGGTATACCAGTCCTCTGTGTAATAATGCAGCTCATTGTATGTATTAAGGATCGGGTTTGGTACCCGATTCCCTGTCAGCGATAAACTTGAAGAATTTAGACGCAATCAAGGGAATATAGCACCCTTTCAGCATTCACAGCTTTGGGCCCTACCATCTCTACTGCTCCATAAGAACTACGACGTGAAATAACTTCCAGTCTATACTCAGTCTTCTGGTATGGAATAGACATTGATCTCATAACTATAAAAGTTATTTCTCTCCCTAGCCAACACACTGCACACGTTTGAGGAAGCACAAGTACTGTTTATAGGATAAGAGACTTCTGTCAAATCACAGATACATACCAAAAAGTTAGTTGTGGATCCAAACTTGTCTAGGTCTATTTTTTCCTGTCATCCCCCCCCTCCTTTTGCCGTAGTCCCGTTTTTGCCTTAGATCCTCTACCAATCTCTCTGGCACTTAGTTTTTCATTGTCTGAGATGTCAGCTTTTTCTCAGCTGATCCAGACAACTGTAATAATTGTAGTAACTTTTTCCACACCTCTACAAATACTCCCCCTGTATGGACTTCTCTAGCTACATCTTTGTGCTTTGCAGCTAATGAGTCCTAAAACTCGTAAGACCCACAGAACCGAAGGAAGAAGTCCTGTTTCAGTCACTAGAAGAAAAGCTTCTTTACTACCTTCTATTAGATTTACCTTATTGGGACTTGGATTTAAAACTTTAATGAAACTGGACAGAGAGTTATTTTATCCCAGATGGTGTACCTGTCCTGTAATTTAGAGTAATTGTTATTAGTTGAGCAATCAAGGAAGATGTAAGTGAAACACAAATGTTATGACAGAAATGAGACTAGGAGTTGCTAACTGCTATGCTAAAGGAAAATGAATCAGACAAGAAAGCAAGTTAAAATCAAGATAGCTACATTTGGTGCAGGCTATTAATAGTATCTACTTAAGTCCTGATTCCTAACAGGAAACTATGTCACCCTATGACAAATTCACTCATCCATGTTATCTCCCTAGTGATTCATCATATATTCTAAGATGATAGTTACTCAATTTTTAAATCTTCTTCAGTTACGTCTCGACTGGGACCAATCCCACTGTCTGAATATGTATCGTGAAAAAAAGGTTCCAAGTAAGCAACTGACCAGTCTTACTCATGTGAGACTTCAAGCTATGTACTGTAATAATACCTAGGTTTATTGCTTTAGCTTTAACTTTCCCTTCTGCTCTCAAGCTTCAATACTAGTCTCTGCAAACACATCACCTAAGGCATCAGAGGAACCTAGCTCTGACCTACAGCAACAACTTTTATATGAGAGGGTTGTCTCTCATCACTGTCTAAACATTCTAATGTGCAATTAAGACAATTTAGCAAGATTCAAAGGCAGACTGGACAGCTTAATGGATCATTAGAATTGAAGGCGACACATTAAACCTGCATTATTATTTTATATTACTAATTGTAATTAATACTGAATAAAGGTCTGGGAGATAAAAAGCCTCATTGCAGGAATTGAATCATGTCCACCTATTACAGACTAGAGGGAAACCTTTCCTGAACAGGGCACACCATGGTTTTCTCATAAGAAAGTTTATTCTACCTTCCTATTAGGTCAATGCTGCTGGCATTAGAGGAAAGACACTTAATTAGATGGGCCACATCTGACACGTGACTGAACAGTGCTGAACAGTTACCATAAACATGGAGCAAGATTTTGCTTATTACCTTTAATTCTTCCAGTGACATAGAGAAAGCCATCTTTGTCTAGTTTTCCTAAATCTCCAGAATGCAGCCACCCATCCTCATCAAAGGCTTCTTTTGTTTTGTCTTCCATATTTAAATAACCCATGAAAACAGTCCTTCCCCAGAAACAGATTTCTCCATTGCCTTCTGTATCTTCATCCACCAATTTCACTCTGCAGCCAGGTACTGGTTTACCACAGCTATTGGAGAAGGGCAGAAAAAAACCACAAGGAGCACAGAAATATTAAATATAATACTGATAAGACGTCTAACACACCAAATCCCTGAACCTATCAAAATATTAGTGACTGTAAATAACACCCTGCTGTAACTGTTTGAAAACTATGGAATATTAATTCACTAGGGCAGATATGTTAGGGTGCTTACCTAAGCACTTTTCGGCTATCTTGCCCTGTGCTTCCCGGTTGTTTTTTTTTTTCCCCCTTCTGTATCTTCAGGCGTAAAACCACTTTTGTATCTGAGGTCTTGCATTTGAAAGCTATCCTGCCCTGGGCCAGGGCTAGTCAGATTTAGTAACTATGTTCTGCATATAATGCTGTAGATCACTTCCAGTGCTCTTGCCACGGCATGCTATGGAGGCAGCGTGTTCACCTTCTGACCTGGAAGTTATTTTGCCTCCCAAAGTCACAATAGAGTGGCAATGCATTGAGAGAAAACAAGTGATAAGATCTTTGCTAAACTTATTAAATACTCTTCTCATAGATATAATGAAACATACCATATTTAAAAAAAAAAAAAGAGTAAAAGTTACCTGTGCTGCCGGTAAATATAGGGCCCAGATAGGCAATGTGGGCCTGTGGTCTCACTCATCCCATAGGCCTCATACAGGGTGATGTTCAGACCCAAGAAGAAATACAGTGTTTCTGTATTGAGAGGAGCAGCACCAGAAAAGTGCTTCTGACAGGAAGAAAAACCCAGTGCATTGCGTATTTTTGCAAGCACTAAGTAGTCTGCTAACCTTGTCCAGAACTGCTTTAAATCACTGCTGAGTACAAAACACACAAGAGAAGGAGACAGTAAGTCAGAGCAACCTATGAAATTTCCAAAGCAAAATCAGAAACAAATTTTGTTTAGAGATATATTTGCCATTTGGTTTTGGGTGTTGACAGAAGTTACATCAGTAAGAACAGGTTACATATTTGTCCTTTTTTCATTTATTCAGTGTCTTCCATTGCTAGTGAACTCCAGCTCTTGAGGTGTCTGAATACTGAAAATACATAAAGAATCTATAAAAATGTATTGTATAAAACAAAGCTCTTGTATTCCTGAGTCTTTATGAGTTAAATGTGTCTCTGAGAACCTGTATCACTAAGATCTGAAATTTGCAGGACCTATCTGAGAAGCTGAATGACCAGAAAAGCAAAGCAGTATCACTGCACGATCTTTTGGAATACCATTTTCTGTAAGCAATTTCACACTTAATTGTGTCACGCTTTAAAGAACTTTGGAACAGAACTGTGATTAATTGTGTCATGCTTTAAAGAACTTTGGAACAGAACTGTGAATTAAGTTACTATTTGAATTTATACAACATTCTTTATCTGGGCAATCTTATGGAAAAAACCACCAATGTTATTCAGAACAGAGATAAGGTATTTAGATCTCAGACAATTCGCAGGGGGTGTCCCCGAGTTTCTGTGCGGAGATGAGATGTTCTTACTCACACGGTGCATACCCCAAACTGTATGAGCCAGTCTGCCTGGGCTGTCCCCCAAAACTTCCCCCCTCTCATACACCTCCTCCAAATTCATGCCCTTTCCTCACACCAGTAACTAGCAGTTGCACAGTCACATGGTGCACTGCATCAGGGAACTCTCCCAGCTGAAAACTAACCTGTTAATTCACGGAAGATGCACAGTTGAGGGACGTGTTAGCAGGAGTATGGTCTCAGGGAGGATGGAGGGACACTTTTAACAGTCACCTGTGTTTAAGGTCAGCCTGCTGTAATTGATAACTACACCCTCCCTATTGCATTATATTTGCTGTGTTGCCAGGCCAAATTTTACCCATTTACACTTAGACTCTCACTGATGCTTCATAGTTTATTACAAGCAGATAGCTACTTTCAGCTTGACAGAAATCTCACTCATTGTAATACATACCTGCTTGAGCAGTTTAGGTTTCTCTCTAAGCTAAGTGACATAGCCCATGACAGGATTTTCCTCTTCATAAATCCTGACTGAGCAGAAGTATCCTTTAATTTCTCCATGATTTTCTCCCATACTCGGGGAACTCCCATGTGAGATGTTGGCTGTACTTCTTTTAGTGTGTTGATCAAGCTGCCCTGTTAAAATCATTAAATCATTTCAAAACATTGCAAAAGGTCCACAGCAGTGATAAAGAAGTTTGGTGATGCAGTCTGCGTCTTGCAATGCTAACATGTAGAACATCACTAAACATATAGGCTATAAAGAAGGACTGCTGAACCTACTTCAGTCAGACATATACACTAACATGTGCCAGCTCCGACACATCGGGGGAGGTATGTATGCAAGAAGGAAAACGCACCGGTGGTTTAGTTCCTTCCGCTTCCCTTTCCTCCAAAAATTGCCTTAATAGAAGCTTATGGATCTGGATTATACATTTTAATTGGAGTCTAGAGCACTGGATCACAAGTCTAATAGATTTTATTTTTCCAAAATTCTTACAATAATGGACTCTCAATCTTCATCTTCTGCACCTCTTCAAAGATCATATTCTCTCCTTGGGATGTTTTCTAAGAGGAAGTGCAAGCTTAATTAGGTGCAATACAAGACAGATACCTTCAGAGCATCTGGCTCAGCAAAGTAAACTTGCTCTCCCCATTTGATTCCAGTCCACAGGTCATATATCTGCGCAGCTATGTGGCTGAGTGGGAGATAACTGACTATAGACTCCTGTTGGACCTCTGCCGGTTGCATATCTCCTGCTCTGCTGCAATGTGCTGATGTCCAAGTTATCTGTTTAAATAAATAATAAAACACATTAGGTACATTGTGGGTTTTTTCCTTTTTTCCTTTTAACACAAACTAAGGATTCTCATGCTTTGCTAATGTAATTATGAAGAATCTGAGCTCACAGAAATTGCTGAAGACACTGCAATCTGACAACACACCAGACTGTCAGTTTCCTGGGGGACAATCAGTCAAAAGCAAGATGAACTTTGCAGCAACAGAGACTTGCAGATAACATAAGTAAATGCAGCCTTTCTGCTGCCTGACTTGGCTATGAACACTACCAACTCCCCATGCCCTAGTGACACACTGAGCAGGGCAGCCATGGGCTGGATGGACAAGGAGTAAATTGATCTACCCTTTCTTTTGCAAGGGTAGATCTCCTACTGTGCATACTTTCTATCAAGCTGACGCTTTTCACCAGTGCTATGTCTATAGGCTTACCTGAAAAAGAACAATAAATACTCAATGATCAGTGAGCTCACAGGACAGTTTAGTTTAGTATCAGCAGTGAGCTCATTGTCTTGTACTGATCATCACCTGGCTAAGCACTAATGAGGAAGATAGCAGTTGTATTCTGCTCCTCTGGAAGCCTCTGGGATATTCACCACGGTGGTTCACAAGTGACACTCCCACACACCGTCCCCCCCCCGCCATGAGCAGCATGAATATTTTTGAAGATGTGCTGCTTGACTTCTTAGTGAAACTGTATGATGTTTCCCCCCCTTCTTCCCAATTCCCACTTTATCTCAGAAGATGCAGTTCAAGGATGCTAAATATGCATATCTTCCGTTATCAGAACATAGCATATGGAAGACCCACAAATATATGTGATGGTATGGAGGAAGGGGGAAGATGTGCACAGCAAAAAAAAAACCCAACACAAAACAAAAAAAAAAGAAACAGCTCTTTCTCAGAGGAGTCTGTAATCTACCCCAGCTCTTTCTCAGAGGAGTCTGTAATCTAAAATGGGTGGGGCAGGACACAGAAATGAGATTATTCAAGATGGCAGGGAAGAGATACAAATCACATGCAATACCTTTTATCACAGTATGTTCCTGCCAGCTCCTTTTCTTTGTAATAAATTAGAAGGTACGAGTGTACATTTGGTCTAAGGAAATAGAGATTCTCAAGAGAGGTTTTTGAGAAGCAGCATCCTGTCAGGCCAGGCCACTCCAAGTTTAGATGGCAGCTTTAGACAAGTGGCTATGGGAGACTTGCACAATAGGCAGAATGGGATGTCTTTGAGATGTGGCTATATTGATTGCTTATCCTCCTTATCCTCCAAGCCTCGCAGCATGCAGGCACATGCACAGCAGATCTGTGTAGGTGCATATATGACTGACTCAGCACTGGTTTTGCACACAGACAGTGGCAAGTATCTTTTGACTAAAGAAGGCAGCAGCACAGTTACAGGCGAGGCATGTTTTCCACCGTTCATCAACATAAAAATAGTCTGTTTGTGATCAGCAGCCAGGAATAGTTTGGCAGCTAACATGGAAATGACACCAGACTCCTTTGAGATGGAAGAGCATAGGATTTGCAACGTCAGATGGCTCTTTTTGTCTATCAAGTCCACTATGTTCTGCTTCCAGATACTACTGTACTGATTCTCCACATTTGGGTGAATTACTCCTCACAGTGTGCATGTCTGCAATAGTTTCTGCATTATTTTAAGAGGAGAGGCCACAAGTTAGACCAGCCCTTTCACAGATTGCCTATGTGTTCATAAAGGCTCCCTACCACTTTCCACTCCTGCTCAGCCACCTTAAAAAAGTTAAATATATAAAAATCCAAAACAACTACAGTCCAGATCTTTGCTAGCAGACCCCTGAGGAAAGTCCTTTTTGCAAACGACTGCTTTTCTCTATCACTGGAACATTTTCTGTTTGCAACAATGCAGGTAAGGGTATTGTAAGTACCAGGGACTAGGCACTAGAGTTTTATTATCCTCCAGTAGAAACCCAAGTCTAGGAATATAATAACGCCAAAGTAAAAAAACCCACACACATCCATCCCCAATTTTAGTAAAATGTACAAAAGCAGTCTATCAGGCTGTTTTGATAGTGGCTGGTAGATGTATATGATTTGTTTGTTTTAAGATGACCTGTGACATCACCTGAGAGACTTTATGGCAATCTGTGAATTGTATTTATGAAAATATGCATTAAATCTCACAAGAAAACCAGTGAATAAAAAAAAATTATATTCGTAACAAACTGTTCAACCTTATGAAGTGCTAGTTTGAATGGAGTTTCATTCTTTACCATGCGTATACTTTACCAGAAACAGCCGACTGCATTTTGAATATTGCTTTGTAGTTGTCCTGGTTTCGGCAGGGATAGAGTTAATTTCCTTTCTAGTAGCTGGTACAGTGTTTTGGATTTAGGATGAGAACAAAGTTGATAAAGCACCGATGTTTTAGTTGTTGCTAGGTAATGCTTACACTAGCCAAGGACTTTTCAGCTTCCCATG